GCTGGGCGCCGGGGGTGCGCAGGGGCACCTTGTTTCGGTGCTGGCAGCGGGGGCAGCCTGCCCAGACGCCGCCTGAATTCTCCCCAGTGCCGTCCCCTGAGCTCCTCGCCCACCCACCCAGTCGACACGCGAAGCTTGCCTCACACCACCGACCGACCCCAACCGCGCCCCCCCTACTGCCGCCGCGCCCGCCGCCGCGCCGCAGGGTGGTCAACCAGCTGTTGACCGAGCTGGACGGCGTGGAGGGCCTGAAGGGCGTCACCGTGCTGGCCGCCACCAGCCGCCCCGACCTCATTGATGCCGCGCTGCTGCGGCCGGGCCGCCTGGACAGGCTCGTGCACTGCGGCATGCCAGGTGTGTATGTGTGTTTGTGAGTGGGTGGCTGTGTGCGTGGGTCGGTGGTGATGGAGGTTTCAAGGCCGGCATGGGGGCGAGTTGTGCTGCCATGCTGCGCGGCAGCCGAGCGGGCGGGCTGGGCGTGAGGCTTCTTGAGGCACAGCAGCCTCGAAGGCGTCGGGGGGTTGTGTCGGTGGGGCAGCGATCTGGCAACGCCCGGGCTGCGGTTTTGAACCTGTCATCTACCCCTGCAGCTGCCCGGCCGTCCTCGCCACCCGCCCCGCCACCAATTGTAATCGCCATGCCTGACTCACACCGACTCACACGATACAAAAGCCCACCACCCTAATCAACCCACCACCCCAACCCATTCCTGATCAGCCAGCACCCCAACCTGCTGACTTGTGATTAAACCCACCTCACCCCGGCCCATCGCTCAGACGAGGCCGCCTGCCTGGCAATCCTGCGCGCCGCCAGCCGCCGCACGCCGCTGGCGCCCGACGCCGACCTGCCGGCCCTCGCGGCGCACGGCGCCGCGGCCGGCCTCAGCGGCGCTGACCTGGCGGCGCTGCTGTCGGAGGCCCAGCTTGCGGCGGTCCACGAGGAGCTGGCAGCCAGGGAGGCGGCGCTGGCGCGACGCGCGGCGGGGGCGGCGGAAGCGGAAGCGGTGGGGGCGGCGGGGGCCGGGGGCGGCGCCGGGGGCGCGCCGCGGGTCGCGGACCGGCACCTGCAGGCCGCGATATCGCGCGCGCGGCCGTCGCTGCCGCGGGCGGAGCGGGCGCGGCTGGAGGGGATCTACTCCAGGTTTATGGAGGGGCGGGACCCTGAGATTGCGAACCGGCAGGCGCGCGCTGACGCAAAGGGAAAGGCGAAGCGCGCCACCCTTGCTTGAGGGCCTGCCTTGGAACCACAAGTCGGCGGCGCTGGCAAGCAGGGTTGCCAGAGCCGCACCCCTCCCTCTTTGTGGCCGTCGCCCTGCACTCGGGCTGTATTCAGCTTTTGATGTCTTCTCCCCCGTTTCGCGTGCGAGGGGTGCCTGGCTTCGGGAAGGACGGTCTGATCCTTGCAGCAACGGGCAAGCGTCTCCCTGGCCCTGTCCGAAAAGGTGGAACTTTGACCCAGTGTGTGGGCGGCGAGGCGGGAAGGCCTGCTGAGGAGCATGCGGCGGTCGCTCGGATAAATGTAAGGGCTTGCCGGGGCACCCATCGTGATCGGCGTGCTGCAGGCGACCGACACCCACCGTCACCTGGTGCCGAACACAAACCGCAGCTGCGGCGGGCGGGCAGGCGGCGCACCCGCGCATGGGACCGACGTGGGCTGCGTGCATCATCAAAAATCAAGAAATCCACAATTGATTCGCAGGACTCACTTCATACACGAACAACCCGGCATCTCCTCGGATTTGAGATCATCTCTCGGCAATGGCGCAGCTGCAGCGGCCATTTAGCGGCAGCGCGTTGAGACAGACGCAGTGCAGATGCACGGGACGAGTGGCATGCGTGCGGGTTCGGGCTGAGGGACAGTGGCAGCACCACCAGCAGCAGCAAACCAGGCGCGCTCTGCTGCTGCAGAGCGCGGGTGCTGCGGTCGTGGGGAGCCTGATCGCGGCGAGTCCGGCCGCAGCAGAGTTTGTCTCCGTGCCGAAGGGCTTCAAGCGGCTCGTAGACAAGCTCGACGGCTACGAGTTCTTCTACCCTGAGCTCTGGTCGCCGGTGACCACCTCCGGCAACGACGTCTTCCTCCGCAACCCCTTCAACATCGAGGAGAACCTGTTCGTTGACATATCCTCTCCTTCCAGCTCGCGATACAGCAGCGTGTTGGACCTGGGGACGCCAGAGGCGGCGGCGAAGACGAAGCTCGACCAATACCTGAACAAGGAGTTCATGTCCACGCGGCTAGGTGGGTCACAGGCGGTCCCATTGGTGGCCACATCATTTTACAAGGCGACGGGCATGCAGGAATACATGGCCTCGTCAGGACGCTTTGACCCTTTGACCGCAGCGCGTAGACTGCATGCGGATGGTCGTTGCGCCAGGCTTGTCGGCCGCACCTAGCCCGCCGCTGCCCGCTTCCACTCCCCCTCAACCTGCTGCCAGGCATCAAGCGTGTGGGCGAGATTATCTCCGCCGACAGCCGCGTCGCCGACGACGGCCGGACTTACTACGACATTGTCATCCGCATGGCGTCGTACGGCTCCCGCAACGCCTATGCCACCACGCAGCAAGAGGTGCGCCCTCGCCAGGCGCCCCGTCAAGCCGCGACAAGCGGCCGCAAGACTGATGGCTGGCGTGTTTCCTTTGTAACAAGATTTTCACAGCCCGGGTCTCTGCTAGTGCGCACATGCAGAACCAGGGGGTAGCGCCGACCGAGCAGTGGGAAGCCTGGCGTTGACCGACGTTTGACCGCCGCCGCCGCCCCACATGCCACCGCCATCTCCTCTGCTTTATCCCTTCCAAACTACGCTACCAACACAAACCAAACCCCAATACCTCGCCGCCCCATAGGTCATGAACCAGTACGGCCTCGAGTGGGACAGGCGGCTCACCACCACGCTGGGTGTCGCCAACAACCGCCTGTACGAGCTGCGGCTGCAGAGCGCCAGCGAGGGCTTCGAGGACAAGTCGGGCACGGTGGTGGCCATGGTGCAGCAGTCGTTCCGGGTCAAGGAGGTCGAGGCGTGAGGGGGCGGCCCCCAGGCTTTTTGACGTGCCGCACTTGCCCCGTTTTTCGCCAGCGTAGCCGCCGACTATCATTTGCGCTGCAATTTTTGGGCGATTCTTGGCCCCGTGTACCCATGTTTGGACTCCACTTGTGTTGTTGCAAATATATTGTTCCCCTTTATCTTGCGTTTGGGCACACACCAAAAAGTAAACGTGTGGTCTTACAAAGGCACGTGGGCATATGCGCGCCCAGCGCTCAGTCACAGGGCGGTCAGCTGCATCGCTGCAGCCACTGCGGGGTCGGCGTGGGCATGGACACTCGCGCCCGCGGTGGGCTGCGGCTCGCCCGCGCCCTGCAGGCCGGCGCCCAGGTCCAGGCGACCAGAGGCGCCGGCCCAGGCCGTCAGGCCCTGCAGGATGACGGCAGAAAATGCGTTGCTGGCACCGTTGCCGCTGCCGCTGCTACTGCTGGTGGGGGTTAAGGTGTTGGTGCTGCTGCTGCCATTGGTGTGAGTGCTGGTTATGCTGCTGCTCCTGCTGCTGCTGCTGCCAATGCTGTGGTGTCCGTTTACGCCAACAGGCACATCGCCTGTGTTCGCCACGGCTTGTCGGAGAGGAGCTGTGTTGGCGCCGGCACCGGCACCCTCGAGCGCGGCGCTGACCTCCCGCGTGCGCTGCACAAACGCCCGCACCCACGCGCCGCCCGGCTGCACCTCCAAGCGCGCGAGCGCCCACAGCACGCCGCTCAGCTGCGCCGCACTCATCTCCAGCACTGGCATCGACGCCAGCAGCTGCTGCATCCACCCCGCCGGCGGCCGCACGTCCAGCACCGCCAGCGCCCACAGCGTGCTCGCCACGTCGCGCGGCGAGAAGCTGGGCAGAAGCTGCTCCGCGGCCCGGAAGAACGCCGCCTCCCACGCGGCCGGCGGGCGGCAGTCAAGCGTCGCGAGAGCGACGGCGGTGTTTGCGAGGCCCTGCGGCGCGGCGCGGCCCGCTTCCAGGTGCGCTGCGCTCGCAGCAAAGTAGTCCGCCATGAACGCGCGCCCAGGCCACGGGGGCGCGGCGCCAGCGCCGCCGTCGCCAGCGGCCGCCGCGGCCGCCTGGCCGGCGCGCGCGAGGGCGAGGAGGCAGAGCGACAGCTCGCGGGGCGCCATTGACGGCAGGCGGTGGTGGAGCTCCGTGATGCAGCGCGCCAGCCAGCGGCGGCCTGCAGGTCGTCGGCGCGTGAGGATGCAGCACCAGAAAATCGTGAGGTCAGGGGTGTGTCCGAGCCGGCGCGTGAGCAGCAGCAAACACGTCCCGATGGCGCGCCGCGAGCAGAACAAAACTATGCCTGGGAGGACGCTGTTGCAGCAGCGCGCCACAGCCCTGCGCTGTCCCCTCTGCCGCAGAGCTGCTGAACCACAGGATCTGGGTGCGTGCGCGCATGTGTGTGTGCGTGTGTTCGTGTGTGTCTTTTGGGGGGCCCGCTCACTCACCAGGCGCGACCCGCAACGCCAGCAGCCCGGTCAGCATGCACGTGATGTCGCGCGCCGACGCCGCGCCAAGCGCCGCGTAGCTGCAGCGCTGGAACTCCCCCAGCCACGCCGCACCGACCGCCGCCCGCAGCCGCGCGAGCGCCCACAGCGTGTTGGCCATGTGCTGCGGCGGCGCGCCCGGCAGCGCGGCGCGCGAGAGCCGCACGGCGCGGCCGAGCAGCTCGCGCGGCGGGCGGGCGCGCAGGCGCGCGGCTGCCCAGAGCGTCAGCGACAGCCCCTGGGGCGTTTGCGCCGCCAGCTCGCGCGCGGCGGCGTCCCAATACCGCGTCATCCACTCGGGGCCCAGCCGCACGCCGAGGTGCGCCAGCGCCCAGAGCGTGGACGACAGCCCCTGCGGCGTCTGCCGCGGCAGCGTCCGCTCGATCGCCTGCAGCAGCGCCCCCGTGAACCGCGCCGGCAGCGGCAGCACGAGCCCGGCACTGGCCGGGCCCTGCTGCGCGCTCTCCCACTGCCCCAGCTGCTCGTCTTCCGCTCCCTCCTCCCGCCGCTGCTCCTGCAAATCGTGCCCGACCTCCTTCACCTCCTCCTGCTGCCCCTGCTCAGCCTGCTGCCGAGGCGCGCCCGCAGCTGCCGCCCGGCGCGCCGGCAGCTGCCGCCGCAGCAGCTGCGCGTCCCGCTGGTGCAGCCGCGCGAGCGCCGCCGCCAGCACGGACGCCTCCTGTGCCCCAAACTCCCCCAAGCGGGGGCCCACCCCCCGCAGGAACCGCAGCAGCCACGGCCGCCCCGGCAGCGTCGGCAGCCGCGAGGCGGCCGAGACCAGGCAAGCTAGCTCCCGCGGCTCAAAGCCGCCCAGCGCCGGCAGCGCCGCCCACAGCAGCAGGCGGGTCACGCGGCGCGGCACGGGCCACCCGAGAGCCGCGAGCGCCCAGGCCGTGTTGGCGAGCTGCTGCGGCTCGAAAAAGGGCAGCTGCCGCTCCAGCGACGCGTAGTAGCCGTCCCTGAACGCGCCGCCGGGCGACGCGCCCAGCCGCGCGACCGCCCACAGCGTGTTGGCCAGCTGGCGGGCCTGGAAGCCGGGCAGCAGCTTCTGCGCCCGCTCCAGCAGCCGCGCGACCAGCGCGTCCGCCGCGGCCCCATCATCGCCGCCGCCCTTGCCTTGGCCGCCTCCGCCGCGGAGGGAGAGGTGCGCCAGGCGCGTCAGGCACGCGCTGACGTGGAGCGGCGACAGCTGCGCCCAGTACTCGTCGCAGAGGCGCTCCACCTGGCGGGCCGTCTGGGCCCTCCTGATGTTCACGGTGATGTGCTCGGGCGACACCAGGGGCACCACCCGGCGCTGCACGAACTGGGACGGCGCGGCGGCCGCGCCAGGGGGCGCGCCGCGGCCGGCCCCCGGTCTGCTGACGCTTGGGCTCTCCCTGCCGCCGCTGCTGCTGTTGCTGAGTGGACTCGGATGCAGCGGGGCGCGCGGCTTTTGCTGCTGGTGCAGTTGCCAATGCTCGCGCTGCTCGTGCTGCTGGCCATCCTGTCCCTGTTGCTGCTGCTGCTGCTGCTGCTGCTGCGGTTTGTGCACGCTCAAGCGGAGCCGTGGCCGTGCCGGTCCAGCCGTGCTCTCTGCAACGATTGCATGCTGCTGCTGCTGCTGCCGCAGCCGGCGCGCCTGTGGCAAGATGCCGTGCCTTGCAGGTGAGGGCGCCGCCGATGCTGGCGGCGCCGACGGCGGCGCTGCGGTGCCAGCAGCCTGCTCGGCAGAGACCGCGGCCGCTGCCGTGGGCCGCACCCGTGCGGACGCGGCCTGGGTTGCATGGGTGCATTCGCGAGGCAGGCGGGTCGGGAAATGCACGAAAAAAGTGCATCGGCTGCGCACGCGGGCGGCGCGCAAACAGGGCCGGCTCCCAAACCCCGCGTGGTGCCACTACAAAGGGCATCGCCAGCTCACCCTGAGACTCCTATCCGACTTGAGCTTTGCGTTCAGCATCAATGGGGCCGCGTGATGGCTGATTTGCCACTCACAGACCAATGACCGCGGCCCCCCCGCGCTTGTAGGGGCCGTGCTGGCACACGAGGCTGACACGAGATCCAATAAAACACACAAGACTGCGTATACGACCAGGAAGTGCACGCGGCTTGCTAGCGGCGCATGGCGGTGGTGCGTCTCTGTCCTGGCTCACGAGATGGCTTCTGCATCAAAACAAGTGTGGCAACTGTATCGAGGATCTCTGCTGCTGAATACCACTGCCATCACCCTGCGACCGATGCTGCTTCAGTAGCACTGCAGCAAGTGCTGCCCAGCTGCTGCTGCTGTCCCAAGTGTGTGAGCTCTTTCAGCAGCCCTGACGATCAGTTGTCTAGGGCATTAGAGGGTGGTCATGTGTTGGATTCACGGTATATTTATCGATGAGCCATTGCGGAGCCGCTTGAAGCAGCTTACCCCGCTAGATCAGTCGCCTTGCCCTGCTTTGGCGCAACCAGATCCAGTGTAGGTGGTCTGTTAGAGGATAAGGACAGCCTTAAGGCTTTCTTCCAGGTCCTGTAAGCGCGAGGGCAGAGGAGCGAGCCTAGGAGCGGGTGGTGAGCGCCCAGTTCGATATTGTAGCACTGCCAGGAGAGCCCACGGTGCTAAGGGACAGCTATACAGCTGCATAGGGGCCGGCGGAGCGTGCTGCGGGTCCTCCGCGCACCTGCGTAGCGCCGTTGCGCGGCACAGCGTGTTTTCGCCGCTGCTGCAGCTGCGCCTGCACGGCACGCGGCTGCGGCTGAGCCCTGCCTCGCTGCGCCCTGCCCGGCGCGCTCTTCGCCCCGTCCGCAGGGCGCGCGCCCCTCCCCTGGCCGCCGGCGGGATGGCGACGACGCAGGACCGCTTCACGTACAGCAAGGCGCCCGTCAAGCGCGTGCGGGCGGTGCAGTTCAGCGTCTGGGACCCAGACGAGATCAAAAAGTATTCTGTCTGCAAAGTGGACGCCAATGAGATCTACGAGAAGGGCAAGCCCAAGGCCGGTGGCCTCAGCGACCCCCGCATGGGTACAATGGACAAGTTTGGCGGCATCTGCACGACCGACGGCGCCAACATGTACGACTGCCCCGGGTACTTTGGGCACGTCGAGCTGGCCAAGCCGATGTTCCACAGCGGGTTCATCAAGACGGTGGTGCGGGTGCTGCGGTGCGTCAGCTACCACGACAGCAAGCTGCTGATCGACAAGGTGAGGTTTTTGGGGGGCGAAAGGGGGTGGTTAAGAGGATGGGGGCGGGAGACAGGAGGGGCCCTGAGCTGTTGGGGTGGCTGGGTGGCTGGAGATGGTGGATGGCGGAGGCGGGGGCAGCGATAGCAGTGGTGCGGAGGTGTGGGCCTGGGCTGAGCAGCGGGGATGGCGGTTAGATGGGGGGAGGG